CCCGCCTATACCTCCACACTCTCCAGCTATGGGGTTACCATGGCAACTCCTGCACCATCCCCAGGTCATCAGCATTGCCTCAGCCTAGGTATAGTATGGGGCAAAAGCATTGAATGTGATCAAGTCAATGCGTGTGAGCGTGTGCGTGTTTAAAGAGAAAGACAGATGGATACAGAAACAAACTGCAAACACCTGATGGACTCACTGCCATGCAAAATATCCAGAAACAGCCACGAGAGGTGTTAATGGATGCGGGCAATGAGAAGAAAAGAGAGAGAAAGGATGAATGGAGATGGGTTTTATCCGTGTAATCTCTTAATACCGTCTGTACTCCCTCTACTGGTGTACTGAGTTCAGATCAGATACTGTCCTCTTTGTCCAGGCATATCACAACAACTGTCGATGCGAAATGTTACATTTAATTGCCATTTAACTTTCGTATTATGAAATTTTCAAATGACACAGGGTAGTAAAAAAAAAAAACCATCCTAAAATCACCACTGAAAAACCTGTTGTACACGGTCTATTGCATGTCTTTTGTAGTCTGATATACGTTTTTTTTTCTTCATTTTTTCATGTTCCATGTTCAAATGTGAGTACCAAATATCATTGTATTGCACTGCATTATGTTTTTAAAACTACAGTTTTGATCATAAAACTAGACATTTAAATAATCTTACTAAGACATAATATTGGGAGATAGAGAGTGACAACTGATATATTTGATGATGATTTATATGATTTACTGTATATCATTTGATGTTATATGGTTATAAAAATATCATTGATTTGCATTACATGCTATCACACTTTCATCTTACTTTTGGCAATATGAATATAAGCATCTGCACAAAACTGCATATTTCTTGCTTAGTTTTTATAATATCATACTATATGAGCAATAAAAGCCTTATGTATCAAATATGATGCTCAAAAACGCTTTTTTTTTTTTAGATTTTCTTTTATATTTTAATTAACAGGATTGTGAAAATTGGGTTTTACATACTGTACCAGAATGGAGCAATGCTGAATGCAAGTTTGCAAAAACTATGCCTAAACTGCTATTAGTTGACATCAGCAGCAGGGCTAAACACAGATTTGATTCAAATTCACAAGAACTCAATGAGATTTGGTTCTTTATTGGGGGGTGGGGGTGGTTATATTTCTGTAGTAATGTCCATTTTGCTTACATAATATAAAGGAAATTCCCTCTCTACTAATGCTGAAAATTAAACAGTTTCAAACTAGTACAAACTGGTAAATTGTCTCAAGAGTCTACCGTCAGGCTTTCATCACATTTTTGATTCACAAAAAAAGAAACTGATAATAGGAAAGCATACAGATTCAGCATCAAGGGAGCACCACCGCATTGAACCAAGTGGAAAGCAGGGAATCTTCAAAGTTTGTGCATTACAAAAATTATCATCTGAAAATTTAACAGCAAGGTTCAAACTTAGCAGCAGAATGAGTCAGTTTAGCAGAAATCTGCAGGACGGGAAGTGCTGCACGAACACTTTTCACCCGGCAACTGAAAGCCGTCAGAGTAAAAGCTCAATCTTGGGATTCAGAGAATCCTGAGGAGTGTTCACATGAATATCACAACTACTCTGAAAATTGATATTTTTACCCAGCCCTAATTAACAGATTATTACATGTAAAAAATTAATAAATGAGAAAAAAATACACAAATCTGTCACAATAAGACAAGGAACATGAATCAGTTTTCATGTTGACTGTAAAACCACAATTAAATCCCCACGTACAGGTGTTGGTTACTGTTGCCATGATCGTAATACATAAACTAAAACAATTACTGAGCAGCAGTTGTATATATTTTTTTTAAATATTTTAACATGTTATATGAAGTAACATTTTCTTACTCTGTATTTCTCACACACTCATCTGCTGTTCTAATCATGACACCTACAGTACATTCAACATGTGTTCTGTGACAGGATTCCTGTGCATCAGATGACACAGGGTGACAGAACCGAAGTCCTGTTCATAGTGTGGCATCTGATCGGCTCTGGTTACACATACACACACACACACACACACACACACACACACACACACACACACACACACACACAAGCCGGTTTGCTTGGCCCACTTCCACTGACTGCAGTAGCACTGTCTTTGTACTACCGTATCTCTCTATGCAGTTTCAATAAAAAGTAATGTCAAAAAAGCACTTGAGCACAAACGCATATAGAAAACAACAACCCTCCTCAGAAACACTTAAGTTTTTCTGGAACTTTGAAAAGCTGTAATTCTTTATGAAATTCATGACATCATTTTAATTTTACATTTCAGCTGTCAAAAAGTTTAGAAAGAACTGGTCACAGTTTTTTCAATTTGGTCCAAATAACAATCAAAATGATTTAATATTTAAAAGAAAAATAATTTGACTCACAAATAAACACATCTGTTGAATTACATCATTTAAAACTTATTTTAAAAGAATTATAGAACTAGAACCTCAAAGAATTTTGAGACCTATAATCATTTTTTTTAAACAATCATAAACGGCTTCACAAAAATAATAAAACTACCTTAAAATACATATTTATTTATCAATCTTTGAGGGTCACTATATCTGTATGAAGTTGTAAATTATAATTTAAATTGCATTTTAATTTTTTCTTCCCTTATATCCTTCTGTTCCCTTATCTGTTCCCCTAAATTTAATTTAAAATTGACCGATTCGGTCTAATGTTGATGACGTTCACTCTCATGTCTTTGATTTTGACAAAATTACTATTTGTAAACACATCATCAACCTACAAATAAAAATCTTTTCTCTTTATTTTAATCTTAAAGATTCAACATGACTCCACTATGAAACACAAACACCCTTTAGTGCAGAAAACTTTGCCTTTTTAAATGTACAGTATTTGTGTTGCATGTGAACATTCAGACAAATAACAATATGAACAACAAATAAATGACTTATAAATCAACACAAGGACCGGTCTTGTAAATTTCTTTGTAATGCTGAGCACAGTTGTTGTATAAATGTTTCCCAATCATTACAAAGATTGCAATCATTACAATCATTACAAAAAGTGATGACCTGCAATTGTTATCAGCTATTTCTACTTGATTTTGATTTTGTTGGTATAAATTAATGTATTGAGGTTGATTCAGTGATTATAAATATTATTTTTGTCTTGAATAAAACCAGTTAATACAGAGGTTACAAATTTTAGGCTACCATTTTTTGTGTATTGATCTAGTTTGCTATCTGAATCTGATACCTGATGTGTTTTCCTTTAAGGACAATTTGAATATTTAAATCATGATTTCATAGCAGTTATCTTCTTTAAGTACTTACATCGTAAGTAACTACATTTTTCAGAATATTTGAGGACATATAATTATCAAATACATAAACTTGATAATGTTTGAAATTAAACAAAAAACAAACAAAATCAACTTTTATATCGTTTACTAATGATAATAATTAATTAATTAATAATTCATGATTAATATTATCATTTGAAAAGCTGAGTGGCTCCTAAGTGATTAAACGAATATTGACATCACTTTTTTTAGTTTTGATTTAAACTTGAGTTTTGATTTGTTTGATGTTTAAGATTTTATTCTCAAAACACTGACAATTTTTAGGAAATCGCAATCCTTTGCCACAACCCACAGTGGTAGATGTTATGCACCGTTTTGCACTTAAGACATACACTAAAAACTGAACTACCACAATATTCATTGATCAAAGTGGTCCATTAATATGTTTTTTTAAAGATTGTTAAATTTGCGATTTTGTCCCCACCAATCATGAATATGCACACTGAAACAAATAGTAACATCTATATCAGCTGGTTTTATTTAGTCAAAAATATTTACCATCACTGAACCAACCAATATACATTCATTTGTAACAACAAAACTCATTTTTATGGGTTTCTATTTTTCTATCAGCAGGTAGAAATGGCTCTTTAAGGCAACAATTGCAAGTTACATCCTTGCTAAAAAGCTTTTCTGTAAAAAAATATTTGTCTGTGTAGAAACACATATGCTAAAAACTAGAGGATGGCTGCATAGGAGGAAAGTAAATCTGGCCACGTGGTTGTGCTCTATGTAGTTAACTATGTAGTGACCTCTAATTGCTATTCAAGCACTTCTGCATGTGTTCGAACATATATAATCTGATTTACATTTTTTTTATTCACTGTGATACTCATTTTAAAAGAGTAGCCTGTTGTACTAAAGTATTGTATTCAGAGGCCTACACAAAGCAGTTCAAGTCTATACATCAGATTTTTCCATAAACTTGTTCTCATATAATAACAGTAGACAGTCATAAATCAACAAAAATACTCAACATATTACAAATCATAATACGAATGATTAGAATAATAATTAAAAACAACTTTAAAAATCTATTGCGACGTATCGTTTAAAGCTAACTTAGCAGATATTCTACTAAACTGACGAATCCCAACAAGACGAAAGTTACAAACATAAACACGTAAACACAAATTGAACATAGAAATGTAGTGACTTTATGCTAAGTGTATGCTACAGGAACATAGGCCTACGTAATCCACACAACGTGGTGGTATGTTCAGACCTGATTCCCTGTCTGTTTCTGTCTGTCTGTGTGTGTGTGTTCTGACACAATGGACAAAAGCACTCGACCTAAACAGGAAGTTTGACTTTGTGGCATTTTAACAACATTTAATTGTCAAGCCCTGTGTTATTAAAATAACACACTTAGCCTGTAGATGTTATGTCTATATAATCCTATAATGCTATATAATGCTAATTCGTAAAGGCCGATTATTATTTTTTTACTTAAATTGAGAAAAAAATGTTTTTCTTGTTTGATCGACTGAGCAAAACAACATTTCCCGTTACATAATAACAACTTTGGATATAAACAAGTGCGAGGCCCCCACGATCATTCAAACAACTCTAAAAGCACAGCGGGACCGACAGCAAGCAATTACCCAGTCAAATGTGACAGCAGAAAAATGTACCTTAAGTTTCTGGGAAGCCTTGAACACCTTCCTGTGCAATTCCCTGAGAAATCAGGGGAAGAGACAACTTAACAGTCGTGAAAAAAGGCCAGGAACATACATATAAATATATATTTCCCAACGTCGAAATGTCAGCGTGGTTTGTAATATTCCATACACATCTAGTTCAAATTATACAAATATATGAATGTTTTCTGTTCACAAACAATTAAAAACAAAGGTTACAAAAGCCACCATCCCCAATACTCGATTGTAGTATAATTTTGGAAAATGGGCGCAAAATAAACAAGGGTGCCAACCTAAACCCATACACATCTAGTTCAAATTATACAAATATATGAATGTTTTCTGTTCACAAACAATTAAAAACAAAGGTTACAAAAGCCACCATCCCCAATACTCGATTGTATAGCCTAATTTTGGAAAATGGGCGCAAAATAAACAAGGGTGCCAACCTAAACAAAACTGTTCCCTCCCACTTAAACAGACTCAGCTGGACGTCTTTACGTTAAAGTGGACTTTAAACGGTGGTTGCTTATTTAAGTGACTTACTATTGACAGCCTGTTGGTATGCGACATTCAATTTAATGTATTCTTATATTTAGGCTGCCTTAACTGAGAGGATCCATGCAATCACACACCCCTTACCCCGAACTATATTATCATCTCTTTTCTTCAACCCCACTTACCCTAATCACAGTCCACCTCGTAGAAACATGCTCAGATGTTGCACCAACTTGGTAAATGTATAAACATACCGTTTCGTCTTGTGAAGTCTTTCAAATAAATTCACCAAGATATTACAGAAAATTAATTCTGCGGGAAATCCGTGAAATGCACCACCCGGCGGAAATACCCAAACTGCATCGTATGATGAAAAATAAACCCATTCCTCGTGGATGTGGATAACTGAAAAGCGTGGAAAGAACTTGTTCGCTTACATATTCACGTGGTTAATAAGATTTTCGCGTTGTTTCGCGGTAGAGGAGTGGCTGTCTTCCCGATGGTTCATGGACTCTGTCCAATCAGAACTATTGTCCTTCTACACCGTGGTTTACTTCATAGCGCCTCCCCTATTTTACGATATAATAGATGAAACTGAAACTCTTAGCTAGCTAGAGCAATGGAATCAGTCAGAAGTGTTTTTGATTTAACCTTTTTAAATAAAACTCTTAAAGCTTTTTTTAAAGTATGTATATTTAAGAAAAAGCCACATTGTGACACAATACAACAATATTTTCATCTGCTGTCAAGCAACAATAGCCTATTCAACTGTGCCACAAAAAAAGTTTCTTGAGTGGCCTATCATATCAGCACTTAATGACAGTGGCTTCCTTTTTTTTTTTTTTTTTAATGCATACAAATAGTTAGCCTACATAATTTGAATTTTGTGACTGTGTTATGTTAAAATACAGTGTAAAATGACAGCATTCATTTTTTTCCAAACATTAAATGTTTTAGTGATTCCAAATATTTGAATGGATGTGTACATTTAAGTTTGCTGACCACTCAATGTAGGCTAATTTATAGCAGTTATTTATAATGTGGTTTTCTTTCGTTCTTTCTTTCTTTCTTTCTAATTGATTATTTAAAATAAATTGCATAACCATTTTGCATTCTCCATTATTAACATCTTGACTTGAATTAATGTGATTTGAGCAGATTTCTCTTAAATTTTGCAACAGAAACTAAACAAACTGTACATGACTGTCCCAGTGGAACGGTGGAAAACCTGAAGCGTTGGTGTGTGGAAGCTGCCAAATGTGCTGAAGTTCGGCTATGCTTTTGTTCATTTCCCTGACTACAAATGGGTTTAGCAGTCATTGAAACACCATAAAAAATATTAATATGAATATACAGTATATTAGTGGCTACTCTCATACACTCAGTGACTTTTAAAGCAAAAAGTTCTTACACTTTATTACAATTATATTACAGGTGTTTACTGTTGAGTCACTGTGAACAGGAACAGGACATGAATATAATATTCTGGAGTTGTGGTTTAGGAGCACAGTGATTAGCTGTGTGCATATTAATCTCTTGTATAATAGATTAAAGAACTGGCGCTTAGATTCCCATCGTGTAACAAATTATGTAGTAGCACTTTTGTATAATTTTCTGCTTTATTTTGCTGTAGTTTTATGACAGAAAATGACCTAATCAATTACAAAAAAAAAAAATCTGAATACAGTCTTGTATTGTAAGATGGACTATTAAATCTTCAACAACTCTGGCAATATACAGTGCAGGACTATTTAAATTGACTAATTTAGACCGAAGCTTCTCCTGAGAGTATAAAATATTCATGAAAAAATATTCATAAAATATTCACATCAGCCTGTATTAAAATCTCAGCCTGATGCATAGTATATGCATAGTAATGTCTGACAAAGTTATTGTAATTTATGTGTAACTACAAATTAAATAAATCTGCAAGAGTATTCAGCAAAAAGTTTTGAGTTTTGTAATCATCCCATAACAATAGGAAGTAAAATTTCACTACATCAGTTGGTGTTCTCTCGATATTGCCCCCTAGTGTTTTTATCCCGTATGTATAGTCCATATTTAAGAAATATTTGTACATTCAGAATAATTCATATTTCTCTCTTTTGCTTTACTGAATGTTTGTGCAAACATTTGTATACATTTTATGTTTAAAAATTGTCGACCTAAAATGTATTTGGTATGTTTACACATTATTATCAAATTAAAAATAAGAGATCAGCAAGTTGGACAAGGAACTAAAAATAAAAATGAATGCTCATCAAGACATATTATAGTAATATACTGAAAAAAAATCTGGTGTAGGGTTTACTTTGAAACTACTTTCAAATTTCACAAAAAAAAATTACAAAAAAGACAAATAACACATTGAATTAAATGTGAAATGTGAAAGTAAAATTACTGAAATAGTATTTTCTTGTGTGTGTGTATATAAACAGTATATAAATATAAAAAAATCCCCAGTTTTTAATATACCATTTTGCATAAAATTAATTTTGTTTCTATCAATATAATCTTGCTATATATTTACAAAAGAAACTAATGTCAAGTTTTATTTCATAAAAAAAATCCAGTAATTACACACATACTGTATGTATGTATGTATGTATATATATATATATATATATATATACACACACACAAACACATTTTATTGCTGCTGAAAAGGCTCATTTCACATAACCTGTAAGATTGATCTCCAGAATCTCCAGAAGCTCCTAATGCATCTACATGGATGACCTTCAACCCTTCCAGAGACTGATGGACAATGTACAGTGTCTATATGCTTGTGATTTGCAAATGCTGGTAAAGAGCAGTCAGTCATTTTTCTCAGTAGAGAAGACTGCCTAATATCACTGAATCATAAAAAATGAATATCCTGCAGTTAAAACTGGCTTCCTGAACAGTTCAACCCTGTTATGAAGAAAGTTGCAACTGGTTTGAACAATTCCTGTGTCCCAATGTGCATATTATCCTACATGTCCCAAAGCATAGTATGTTGAAAAGAATATGCCAAAAGTCGCCAGATGGTCTAGTATTTCTGAGAGATTTTCTAACAGCTGATGCTGCCCACAACTCATTGAAAAAAAAAAAAAATCAGTGCACTTAAGTTCAGAACTACAAACATTAATAAAAAGAACTACAAGAATGGTGGATGTTTATGAGTCCAATGGTTGGTTAGAGAATCCCTGAAAAGTGTTTGAATATAAGCTGATTGTTATCTGTGTACACTTTCATAAAGATATGAATAGCACAATACCAAAACAGATATTTGGCCATTGTTATATCATTCTGAATAAATCATTAAAAAAACATAGGACCCACGACTGGCAACATACTACGTTTTCTCTCCAATACAATAGGAAGAATTGTTAGGATACATTTCATGAAATAAAATGTTAAAATAAAATGTTGTCAGTTAAGTGACAAAATTAACATATCTCTGCAACAGCTTTATGACATGGTAGTGTGTCCAAATGCTTATTTCTTCTGCTACACACTCGAAAGTATAAACTTTTTCTTCTCAAAAAGAGTGCATGCTTGTAGGAATATGGTTAATAGTAGGCTATGAGCAGGTGATCCGGGATATGCCACTTGTATCCAAAGTTAATACAAGGGTGAACAGGTGGTTCCTTAAACCTCAACAACTGAACTTTGTTATCCACAAGCCTGATCTCTGACAAACATATTGCCTCCTGTCCTGGTGGTTGACAAGAGTAGGAGGATGTGGGGTTATGCGACATCTGAAAGGTTCTGATAGTGAATGGATACTATAAGGCCACCAGGTGGTGCCAATCCCTCAACTTCCTGAACAGTTCACACCTGAAGAAAACGGGCGCTTCTCAAACGGAAGGCTGCGTCCTTCCTAGCTCAGTCCTTCAGAGGCTTCTAGGTTAGAGTCCTCCTCGGCATTAAACGCTAGAATGAGACAGTCTAGTAAGTGCACGTGGCTACGCCACATATGCTCCCGCCCTCACCGCCACGGCACGAAAATACTAATACAACTTTCTATTAATGCAATACAATGAATCACAGCCGTCTAGTCTCCCAGTGGCTTACATTATTGGCAGTTTAGCGTTTAGTGAGTATTATACACCAAAACAAAAAATAACATCTATGCTTTCATGTCCGAAAACATTATTTTTTGTCTTACATTTCATAATAAATTCAGACATGCTCAGTACTGAAACGTTTTTCGTCAGTCTATTTTCATGAAATGTAATGGGTACAAAAGATTGTGGGTGATTGAAGGTCGCAAAGGATACATCCCATGCATCCTTCAAATTCAGCTGAATGAAGGACGCGAAGCGAAGGCTGCCTTCCAAGGATCCCTGCGATTGAGACGGCCTTCAGCGATGTTTGATGACGTGGCAGGCGGCAGCTGAGATATGCAGCCTCCCGTTTGAGAAACACCCAATGTATCATCTATAGTGTTAGACTGGATGGTTCCACGACGTATGGCTTCGTTTAATACTTACATTTTAATAGAATGTAAGCTGCACCAAAGTGCTTGTGGAGAAAATAATTTATTGAAGATGAATTTATTACCTCAATGTGGTAGCCTAGATAAAACATTCTGTCACGTGGAAGTCAGGTAATCTGACTGGAGCACTTTTTCAGTTTTGTGTGCAATATTATGTAAAACAAAAAACAAACATGGGTAAATGTCTTTCACATTTAAGCAAAGGCCATTTACATTTACAATTCCCCCCTTATATTGATCTTTGGCCAAGTACATACAGCCTGACTGCTTTACTTTAAACCTTTACTCTACATTCATTCCTCCAAATCGGAATGTAATCTGTGTGCTTTAGTAGGTTACAAAACTTATTATGCTTATTAAAACTTATAATATTATGCCACAGAGCAATTTATGAAAACAACTGGTAGAAATGTGTGGATGAAATGAAACAATTTTAAAAGCAAAAGATTCTCGAGATTCAGATATTGTACAAATGACTTTAACTTTGATCCCTTGCTTTAAGCTGCTTTTCTGGTGTTCATTCTCCAAAACTTCCTGGCTACTTCACACAGTGTCATTTCACAAATCCCATTACATTTGCTGAAGCATGACATTGACTAAACCACATTAACCTTTCAGTTCTGACCACTGAATCCAAGAATGTCCTTAAAGGTCAGGACTGACAGACCTGTAACCAAAAGCTTTACTGTCTGTTATGACTACTTCACCAGAGAAAGTAAACAACCTGCACACTACAATTTATCAGATATCACTCACCCAAAATACAACACTAAACTTTAGTAGCATTGCTATAGCTTTAGTTCAAAAGAATAATGCTATTGTATGAAAACAAGGAGTGTTTTAGTTTTGAGGTGTTTTCCCTGTTGCCTTTGGATTGGGGTTTTGTAAGACAAAACGTTGCTTTGGAAAGTATTGTCAGAAGTAATATACAGGTAAAATTAATTGAGTTAAATTAAAGCTGCACCATTTATTTATTTATTTTTGTTTAAACATTCATACCTTGTTTTACAGTGCCATTTATCCACATGT